CCGGCCCGGACACCAAGATGCCGAAGCTTTGGATGATCGCTGACGGCACCTTCTGGAAGAAGTCCGGAAACAAAGACGGCGCGGGCCCGAGTCGTGCACCAGCCCCCGCTCCCGCCAAGGCCTCCTTGCAATCCATAGCCAATACCCTAAATCGGCTAACCCTCATGGTGGACGGCATGGGACAGTCAATCGAGCGGATGGACTGGACATTGTAGTGCCAACATCACGACATGACGGCGTTCTTCCGTGGAGTCAACTACGTCCCGCCACCCTTCAACACCACATTCCTCGGCCAAAACTATGAAGGCGGGGATGAGGACGACGATTCCTATGCTCCATCCTTCTCCCCCGACGAGGAAGACTTCGAAGATGCGGTCAACGGTGATCCCATGGATGTCGAGGATGACGAGGATGACGACGACGACGAGGACGCCGACGCCTAGCCCTTTCTTTTTTTCCTTTAATATGCTTGTATTTTTCACTTTATTATCCGTTGTATTCCGCATTTCCCTCTTTCAATGAATAAAACTTTACTTTTAATTCTTTTTGTTAATGTCAAAAGGGGGAAGATATAAAGAGGTAATGCATAAATTGAGGGGGAACTTTTTCCAAGGAACAAATTGTTTAAAATATAAAAACTAACACTTATTCAACACATAAACTTTGTTGAAAATAAAATTGCATTTATTAAGGGGGAACATTTTTTTAAAGTCTCAAAACAAACCTCCTATGCATAACCCTGTCTTGTTTGCCATTATCAAAAAGGGGCAAATTGTTGAAACACGTGTTTATCACGTTTTCGTACTAAAACCGTGTTCGTTTTTATGACAGGTTTTGATAATGCCAAACCGCCGTGATCAAGACAAAGTGTTGAATATACAAGGCAAGAAGTGAAGATAAGAACAAGAGCTAAAAAAGACCAAGAACGAAGACCGTAGTTTAGCGTCGTTGAGTCGGTCACAAATGTGATCAAGACCGACCCAAGCCTCACACCTTGGCTCTCTAGGCTAAAACGTTTTTATTTCATTTCACATATCATCAAAATGTTTTTCAAACATGTTTAAAACATTAAAAACACTTGGTGTTCGCTCAAACCAAAAACCAACCCATCCGGCGTTCGGCTTTCAGAAACCGGCGTTCGGCATTCGGTTATCGACGTTGGTTTTTGGCGTCCAAACCAACCAGGTGGTTTTCAACATTTTATATTTGGTTTTTACTTCTAGACATGTTTAAATAGTTCTCCAACAAAAACACTTTAAAAACCATCTTTCGTTTTTGGTCGTTTGGCAAAAACCATGCGAAACGGCATAAACTTGGCTAGCCGTGGTTTTTACTCAAATGACGTGGTTTTTAAAGTGTCTCACTTGATTTCTTAGCCAAATACATTAAATAAGTGTTTTGAACACTTGGTTTTCAGTTTGGAGAAATTTGCATTTTTTGGTCATTCTTGCATCGGTTGGCCAGGCCATGGTTCAGGCAAAAACCATGAGTTTTTTATTAAACCATCCACCCATCGATGGGAAGCCCTACCCATCGATGGGTAAGCGGACCTTCAGCCCAACCGAATTCCAGAACCATGCCAAACAGTGATGGGAAGTTCTACTCATCGTTGTGCAAGCCTTGGTTCAATATAATCACAAGGGAGAATGCCCTTACCCAGCGATGGGAACCTTTACCCATCGATGGGAACCCAGCGATGGGAGGGCATACCCATCGCTGGTTAGGCATGACCGTTGTAAGTTATTTAAGGCTGATTCTTTCCTTGTTTGAAAGTCAACCTCCCATCCAGCGATGGGAAGTGTTTACCCATCGATGGGTAGGTGACCGATGGCTTCAAAACTGAAGGAAAATTGGCTTACCAGTGATGGGTAGTTCCATACATCGCTGGAAAAGCCAATATCCTGCAGATCCACATTTTAATAGCAATCCCATAATTCATGCCAATCACCCCTTTAATGCCTTGATCCGTTGGAGCCTATTTTGGCATTATAAAAAGGGGTGTTTGGGTCTGCTTTACATATCAATTCACTTCACAATATCCATATTATCATTGCATTCAAACAACATCATTTTCCATAGCTTTCTAGAGCCAATTCGTGTGAAGTTTGAGTTGTTCTTGAGCGTTTTTAGTTTACTCAATATCTACTCTTAAAGAGAGTCTCGTTCTTGAGTGTATTAGTGTTCTAAGACACGTTGAGAGAAAGTATTTCTCTTGTTTGATTCGAAGGAAGGGATGTTTCCTTCAAAGGACTTGTTGAGGTTCGTGTAACTCGAATTCTCAAGTTAAGCACCGTTAAGCTTAACGAGATAGTAGTGTAGCTCGAGAGAGTCTCTTGGGAGGTTGGATTAGCCACAAGTTCTGGTGAACCAGGGTAAATTCGGTGTGCCTCTTACTCTTCTCTTTACTTCTCCTTTGAATTTTTTATTCCTGCGATTTCTACGATCAAACGCTATTCACCCCCCCCCCCCCCCTCTAGCGTTGGTTATTTATTCTAACACCCTATCGATAATCCTAAGAGTGGCGAAGATTGCGAACCATCGAAAGTGGAAGGTGATGTAACAGAGAGTGCATGGGCACAACAAATGCGAAAAGAGGCTGTTACCGAGAGAACGAGGTACACTCTGGATGTTGTCTTGAAGAAAGGTTTGACTTTTGATTCCATTGTAAGTTTGCAAGATGCAGTGACCAAACATTGTATTAAGGACCATAGAGTATGCCTTCCGAAATACAAAAAAAGTGGCTCTTGGGCGGCTAAATGTTGGTACAAGGACGGAAACCCACCCTGTGCATGGTGGGTACAGGCAGCACAACAAAACGGAGGAGAGTGGCTGTTAAAGAAGTTTAACAAAAAACACACATGTCGTCCGGATTACTCATATGGAGGGGATGATTATATTATCACACAAGGTTTCATTGCTAGGATGATTTTTGGAAAAGTCCGTGTCGACCCAGAATATAAGGTGAAGCTTATTCTGTTGGGTTCTACACTTGGATAGGGCAGCGGAAATATAAAATTTTTATTGTCCAAACATAGATCCACCCAGGACCTCTTATGATTATTATAAGTAATATACCTTTCTTGGCGAGCAAGCAACGATATGTGTAGGTTGAAGGATTGATCCAAGAGCTAGCCACAAAAGTATATCACCTCCAGTTGAGACACACGAACAACGAAGAGTTTTCTAGAGAAAAATTATGCCAGTAATTTTTCTCTAGAATATTTCTAAAATATAAAATATTTGGTGTAAGGTATTAAGAGAACAAAATAAATTTTTCTCTCTTAAAATTATGCTAGGGCCGAAAATCTTCATCACCAAAAAGGGGTGGGATGATCTCCTATTTATAAGGAGCATAATCCCTATTCCTGTTCCTAATAGGAATATAGCTTTTAGAGTTTAGGAAGGAAATCAAATCCCATTCCTATTCTACTTAGGAAATTTCGAATGGCACTTTAAGGAAGCTTCTAATTTATTTTATCAACTTTAATTATCATATAATTAACACAAAATAAATAATATAACATTTATTATATACATACATATACATACATACATACATACATATAGATATATATATATATATATATATATATATATATATATATATATATATACACGCCGAACACACACACACACACACACACACACACACATATATATATATATATACCTGGAATGGTGGACAGAATACCACAACCAAACTCTAGAAGGATGGCTCAAAGGTATCATACCTGGAATCATCTCCCACCAAATTTGGAAGGAAAGAAATCGGCGCATCCATGAAAACAGCAGCAAAGAGTCGGGGAGACTACTTCAAGACTGTATTGCCCAAGTACAGGAGTGGGTTCTTGGAAGGGCTCCTTCAAAGCTTAAGTACTTCGATGCCTGGAGACTTCCTCCTGAACTTATGCTCTCGCAGCAAAGGAACCCCTCCCTTAGAGTCCATAGGTGGACCAACACCTCGGACAGCGGATTACACCTATCCACAGATGTTGCAATCAATCAAAATTACGGGGTGGCTAGTGCAGTTTTACGTAGAGGAAATGGCACTTTCATTTCAGCGGGAACATGGAAGATTGAAGAAACATCTGCCTTACAAGGTGAGGCAAAAGCTTTAGCCATTGGCATACAATGGGCTGCACATTTTGGAAGATATATTTGGGCCAACACTGACTGCAAAAGTCTAGCCAAGTCAATTTCCAGCCGCAAAAACCTGGGAGTCAACCATGAACTTTGGACAACTCTCCTCCATGCTTTCTCACATTCGGGTCAAAAGATCTGCTACATACCTCGAGAGGGAAATATGGGAGCCCATCATTTGGCCAAATGGGCCAGCCAACATAATCTTTTTACTCCTTGTATTTCTTTTTTCATTGCTCCCCCACATGTTCAGGGAGCAATCATAGCTGATGTAATGCTTCCTTTCTTTCGCTAATCAATAAAAAGCTAGCTTCATTATATATATATATATATATATATATATATATATATATATATATATATATATATATATATATATATATATATATATATATATATATATCATGAATTTTTCCAGAGAGAGAGGGGCGAGAGGCGATTATCGCCGCCGACCAAATCGCTATTCCTTCCGATTAGCTCCCTCTCAACGACAATCTTCACATCAAAGAATCTCAAATGGATTTCGAAGAGCCTCCCCTGATCTTTATCCGAACGTACGAAGCCGCTACCGGACTCACCCCTTTGATCCGGGTTTATCGTCTAACGGAGGTAAGAATTCATTGCCTAACAGAGATGTCTATTGGCTCCCAATCCGGGATGCCAATCGGTGTAGAAGCTCAGGTCGGCGCTCAATTCAAGGAAGGAGGAGCCCAATCCGGGAACCCTATCAACATTTTGGTGAAAAAAACACAAGCGCCAATCAGAGATTTGACAGTACCTCCAGACTTTCAGACTTCATCCACAGAAACCTTCTGGAATACCGTAAGAATACTCAGCAGACGGCCAATCTTCAGGCGTCTCTCACCCTAGGTCATGACACTTTTACTCTTTTCCATTCCTTTTACAATCAAACTTACTGTGTCTCTGTTGAAGGAAAGAGAAGTTGCATTATTTGGCTTGACTCTGATTTACTTAGTTGGTTAGTGGAATGCCTCTTAAAAATCTCTTTTGAACCATGTTGGGTTTTCTCAAGAAATACTGAGAAGAGGACTTTGAAAGTGGGTAGGGAATCTGATTTCATAAATATCTCTGAATCCAGAATGGAGGGCACTCGGTCAATCTCACTACCAACAGGTAAGAACAACCTTTTGTTAAGGAAATTCATCTCCAACCTTCACTATTTCTGTAGCAGCAGCTCGGAGAAGCAGAACATTATTACCAAGCCATCCAAGGATCTTCAACCTGGGAATGAAGAGAACATCCGATCTCCACTACACTCGCGGCAGAACATCAGCACAACAGACCAGCAGAAATCTAGTGTAACTCCAAGGACTTCCCAGTTTGCAGACCAGCTGAACACCTGCGGAAACCTGTCTTTAGCAGAATCCAGGGATGACGCAACCAGTCAGGGAGAATGGCTCCCTAGTGTTCACAAGCCATACAACCTTGATATCTCTTTAACCACATCCTTGCTCTGTTGGGAAAGTGAAACCCCCAATCTTCCTAAACCTTTCGATGGTGAACTCCCGGGGCTATGTCGTTATGACCCTATGATTTTTGGCCGAGACACTTGCTCAAAAAGTTTGCTTGCAATGGACATTGGGCCTCTATCACATGCTGAACTTTACAATGCTAACACTAACACACCCTTTTCCGCCAGGGAGGGATCACTTTCAGGGAAAGCACTAACACAGATAGCTCCAGGATTCCCGGCTTCTAGGGTAAGAGGAACTCAATCTGAACCTCCCCGCACACTTCAACTGGTGTCCCCAACAGCCCCTCCTCTCATCCCCTCCTCTTTTAACTCATTCCGGATTCTGGACACATGCCAAGACAGTGAGGAACCGCTAGTGGAACAATCTTTAAATGGAGATAGAGTTAATATTGACTTATTAAATTGCTTTTCTACATCTAGGTTGCTGAAGCTTAATGCCCTCGAGGAAGTGGCCCCATATGGTGGAGAGCCGGCTCTTTATACTCACTCTGAAGGTGAGTCAACAGCATTGAATGACTCAAAGATTGAACCTTGTAGATTCAGCATCCCCAGCAGCTCCACGGTCTCAATGCCGTTCCCGAAATTAACCAAAGGAAAGCCAACTTCTTCACCGTCACATATGGTCACCAGGAGCAGGGCTAGGCAACTAGCTGAAGGAAGGAGAAAAGCTCCCATTAGGGGAGTTGACACCTCGGACGACGATGAAGAGTCCTTGTTTGATGGTATTCGTTCTGCCTTCAAAAGAAGCTGTCCAACCATTCGAACTAAGAAGACCTGTGCACCTGCCCTGGTACCTCAAAGCCCCCAGCCGAAACTTACCAAAAATCAGAAAAAGAAGGCGAAGACGTCGGGCAGCGGAGGCTCACATAGCTCTCAAAGCTAAAATCTCTGAGTTACATGACCACTTTGAAGAAGATTATGATTATGTAGATTTTCTTTAAATCTCTTCTTCTTTTGTAGTCTTTGTAGTCTTTATTTAGACGGCCCATTAGGGGTTGGATCCACAGTTCTTCCAAATTTGGGCTTTTTTCGGGTTTGACCACCCTTCTTCTTTGTACTTTTCATTGTACTTTTCTTTTCCATTCAATAAAATTTGTTTTTCAATATATATATATATATATATATATATATATATATATATATATATTTAAAGAAGAGAATTTTATTAATAGAAAAAAAAAAGGAAAGGAGTACAAAGGGTGGCTGGCCAACGCCCCAAACCGGCCAATCTAAAGGAAAGAAGTACAATAATACATCTGCAAAATCACACAATAAAACAAGGGAGCATGGCTGGAAATTATCCAAGGGAGCAAAGATATCCCGGTCCCTGCATACGTCCTCTCCAGTGAACCTCTAGGAAACAGCACTGCAGATACATAATGAACCCAATAGCATAATATCCCTTTCTTCAGCCACCTTTATGACTGTTTCGTCCCCCTCTCCTTGTCAAAGACACTTACCATTGAAAGTACATCAGCCCATACAGAGCAGAAAAATAGTTATCCACCACTCTTGATCTAAAAGGACATACCAAGATTCCAAGTCCGCATAGCAAAACGAATTCCCAATCAAAGAGGAGACCAGTGTTCCATAACCACATCAGAACAGTGCTATGAAAAAAACCAGCAGCTAGAGGCAACCAGAGTTCCAAACAAACTATGCTCAAACCAATGAGGGAGGTAGATTGTTTATCCCATCAACTTGACCCAATAAGAACTTAACCTGTATAGAGTTGAAAACAGTAAAAGCCCAAGTCTTAACACTCTTGAAGAAAAGCTCCACAAAATGATTGAATAACTCTTGAATCCTCATTTGCATAGATTAAGAAAACCGGGTACTTTGTGCCCTTGATCTTGACGGAATCTGCATTCTCGATGCCTTTGGCTATCTGTCTTGTCATCCTGAAGGCCTTACCCTTACCATTTTTCATAATCCCTTTTTGCAGCTTGTCTCGAACCAACCCAATTGTCAGTGCTTCCCTAATGTAGCAGGAAGTCTCCTTAATATAAGATTCAAAGTGTTCTGTAAACACTGGCTCTAAAAGCTTGAATTCCTCTTCAAAATCTCCCTTGCAGCATAAATCCAAGGAGTATTCTTTGCTACATAATTCCTTGATGTCCCATTGGAAAAGGAGACTGGTGATGGACTCCTCCTGCACCACCGGACTAGATACAGGGATTTCCAGTAAGGGGTCTTGCCACTCGGGTTTACTAGAAACTGTGGCTTCAGTACTACCCTCACAATCTTTAGCGGGGGTTGGAGGTAAACCAGATTGAATAAATGTGGTAGGAGGGGGATTTCTTTGTTCAAGAGACCTTGAGATGGCCTTGATAAAGCACTTAAGACCAAACGTATTAGCACCTAATGGAATACAAATTGTAGATCTAGAACCCGCAAAGACAGACACAATCTTCACAAAATCCCCAAAAGAATTTGAATCCCAAATGATATTAACCGAGTTTGTACCCTCATATCTAGTTAGAGCCCAATCGAAATCTTTGAGGAGATACTGTTCTAGTGATTCCAGGATCCAAAAAGCCGAGGTTGTGGAAACAGATATGGTGCGAAAATAACCATTTTTAAGCTCTGTAATATGGAGGAAATCTGAAAGATGGAAGTCATACCGTTTGCTTTCAAGGTGTAGAGATAGTCTACCCAAGGATTTAGAGAAAGGACCTGCATAGGGAAGAAATTTTCCAGACCTCACCTTAGTATTAAAAGCCCTAGCTATGTTGCCCTGATTTCTGTTAGGGTCCCTCGAGCCCCAAATTTGATTAAAGTAATCACCATCCCTAAAATATCCTCGTCGATGATCCTTCGATGCGCTGGAGAAATTGTGCTGCTTAGCTTCAAAGCTCTCCTCAATTCTGGAGCGTCTGGTATTCCATGATCGACGATGATTAGCGGACAGAGAAGAGGCTACCTTATACCGAAAGTGAGCTTGGCGACGGCGATCGACGAAATTGTCGTGCTCTACCTTCTCTCTAAAACCCATTTTTGTGGGAGGTTAAGGCGGGGTTGGGGTGGGGTGCAGGGGTGGGGGTAGGGTGGGGGGTTTAGGGGGTGGGTTAGGGGGTAGGAACCTTCAATTTTACGAACGGAGGACCGGAGGTGCCCCAAAAACCCAGTGGCGCCAGAGTAGCACCATTCTCCGGTGTCACTGGAACCGGACCGATATATATATATATATATATATATATATATATATATATATATATACATACATATTTACGCACATATACATATATATAATAATTATGTTATGTTTTGTTCCTTAAATAATATTTGACAAACTTAATTCTCATATAATTAAAATGTCCAAATATTAAATATATATTTCGTGCATCAATAATAAAAATAAAATAATAAAAAATTTATTATTTATATATATATATCTGAATATATATTTAATTATTATTATTAATTATATTTGAAAAACTTAATTATCACATAATTAAAATGTCCAAATATAAATATTTATTTATATATATGTTTGTGTATCTAATCATATTGTCATACAATATAATATACACAATATATAAATAAAGTGCAACTTTACTCCACTTAAATATTCTACACCTTCATATGTTCTATGTGTGTGACCCTATTCTAGGCATCTATAAAATTGGCCATTGTATTGAATACTACAAGTGATAAGCGGTATCTAGCAACACATTATCACCCCTAAATTATAGATTAAAGCTCTTGGAACAATTCCTTCAACGACACATCCTATTTGTATAACCGTTATCCCTTTATCACTAATATCTTGATTTAACACAAAGTATGGGGTGTGTCACCTTGTTACAGTTAAATTGATGGTTTACTGATTCTTCGATTGACTTGTGGGATTCAAATAACATATTTATTTGGGCATGGCCATGCACTTCCCAAGTCACATCAATTACTGGGCCCTAAGATATTATACTTCATTAAAGAAGGGATAAATTCTATATACGTCATTCACATCTTCACTTAAGTTTCATTGCATACCCAAAACATAATTGTACATCCACCAATATTTCAGATGGCATAAACTATGCTTCAAAGTATACAACTAACTCAACTTACCAAAGAATTTAATGACTTCAAGTCGAAGGATAGTTAAATAATGGTCGCATGAGAATAATATTAACACTTTAACTTAAACCCATATATTATTCTTATAGCGGGTCAATCCAGCAACATCTCCAATATGTTTGCCTACGCATAGATTCAGATAACACTTTATCTATAGCCTATGAGACGTAGCTATCTCATCTCATACGTATTAGTCTTGATATATTATGATGTCCGTATTGTCATAATATTCGACTAAGGATATTTTAGACGTAGCCTCTATCTTTGTAACAGCCTCATAATCAGAACGTCGTAGTTCTCATCTGTGTTACTAGAGCGCCTACTCTATGGACTAAAGCTATGTTTAAATCACACGAGACGACTTAAACAATCTTTAAGGCCTATTGTTCTTGATATAATATAGATATGGAATCATAAGTTGGCGGGCTTACTTATATTCAACAATCTCCCACTAGCACTAAGGCCAATTATGGTTTCCATGTATGCCTCATGCACGAAGTGTGACCCTCGTGTATAGGTTTTCCCAAAGCCTAGGTTAATAGGTTAAGAGATTGTTTATCCTTTCCTATCTTGGAAATTTTGATACTTTCACTTTTACGACTGTTCGTATAATGTGGTGAGATCTAATGACGTTTTGGTTTCTTGGTGTAGCTTCTTTAGCTCTTGTAGTAACCCTATCGTTGTTAGTACAACGATATATTGGTTTCTAACGCTGGGAGCAATGCTATCTTTTTGTGAGTAGCTACCAAAACCAAAATATATTCCTCTTTGCTGCTTCCAAAGTTGCAAATTTATCTCACTGTTATGCGTATGACACCATGTCAATACTTGTTAATATATGTTTTTGTTAATTTCAACCTACCTTAAGGTTGTTCGAAACGAGCTATTTTGTGTGTAACATTCACACTTAATCCATTTTAGAAAACCATACTCTTTTGTTTCTTCTTAAGAATCAAAAGTTAACTTTTACAAAGTTAATTACTACTCTTAGCTTAGCTTGGACATATATATAGTATATATATATATATTCCTTTAAAATGAATCAAGTCCTTTTAACATATCTCATGGTATTCAATGGAACGATTTCCATGCGGTCCTTTTACAGAGTGAGTCTCAAAAAGGCTTGATCCTGAGATTCATGTAAGTTTCAAAAACTTCCATGTATGTACTAGTCTTAGAGAATTCCTTGTCCTTTGATCCATCTATATGGATCCTTTAGACTCGAGCACATAGCGACTATTTGCACTCATGACTTGATAAGTTTTTAATTTATTTTGTCAATGATATGCAACATACTTATCGTGCTCCCACTAGTCTTCTATAAGACTTTTATCCTAGACATATAAGTGCTATAACTGGTTATAGATAATTTGAAACCCTTCTTTTATCCTTGATAGACTCGTCCATAATAAGTGTTAAAGTGTCTTCATTCATATGAGACATACTTTCATTACTTGTTATTAAGGAAGGAATCGTTTTGGAACATATTCCAAATTGTTGGACATGAGTTCAAACCCCTTTATTATTTTTGGAATATTTTTTGTTTTGATAAATGACAAACAGGATGATTAAATTCAATCAATATTCGAAAATTTATTTTTTCGTATCGAGAAACGCAAAGAAGGATATCAAGAAGTTTACGGCGATAAAAATCGACGATCACCCCTACGCAGATTTTTTATGAAGAGAAGTGAAGACTCCGAAGACCTTTTTAATTTTTATTGAGTCTAGGAATTCTTGTAAGGATGACAATAATTTTTGCATAAACAAATTATTTTTGAGGGATAAAAAAAATGATTATTTCTTGAGTCAGTTGAAAAATTATTTTTCTCTGTCTAAAAATATTCTATTGAGCCAGTTTCAAACTAGTGTGTCAAAATTTCTTTAAAATACTTTTTAAGTATACACAAATTTTTTTTTTGTGGTAAGAAGAAAAATGTACCTTAAAGATTTTTCTTGTACATCGTTTGACACACAAAATATTTTTGGGACTCAATTTCTACACCAAAATTCAAATATTTAATTCAAATTTTGAATTTGAATTAATTCTTTTCAACCCATTTGATTTGTTTGTTTATGGGAGCCTTATCATATTCAAATCCTTGTCCAAAACAAATCATTAAGCTCCAAAACATTCACTCAACTCGCACACATGCTTTGAGTCCTCATGTTTGAGGTTTGTTCGTCAGTGGATCGATCCCTTTGTTAGGATCGATCACTGAGTGTTGTGCTCTAGAATTGAGATCGATCAATTTCTTCAGATCGATCACTTCTTTTTTCGGAACTTGCGTCGGTGGATCGATCACCTTGCTTGGATCGATCCCACGTAGCCTTGCAAAAATCCGTCGCCTGAATTTTTGGTTCCAAAGGATCGATCCCCTGCCTTGGATCGATCCCCCGTGCTTTTGACACAAATTTATTTTCAGAAGTTTACTCCAGATGATCGATCCTTTGTCCTAGATCGATCCTCAACGGTCAAATCTGTCAAAAACACTTCATCCCTACTTCCAACGGATTTATTTCTTTTTCCCCTATAAAAACACTCATCCTCCTTCATTAAAAATACATCTCTTGCACTCCAATATCTTCTTTGATCAATATTCAATTTTTGCTTCCATCTTCCTCTTCAAATATATTATTTTGAGAGTTAGAAATATTTTATTGAGTGCTAAAGATTTTGTCATCCATAGAGCTTTAATTCTTCAACACTACTTTGCTCAATTGTGTGAGCTTTCATTCTTGTGTTGTAAACTCAATCTCATTTGACTGTTGTTCTTAAGACTTGTGTGACTCAAGTCTTGTTGTTGTAAGAAAGTGAGGCTTGTGTGATTCAAGTCTCAAGTTGTACCGGTTTTTCAAGCACCCATTGAAGCTTGAAGATTAGTA